GTTTGGAGGGAAGAGCGGTGCTGAGGGTGGAGGGTCTTTGATGTGGGCTTGGTGGGCTTGCATCTGCGGGGGGGGGACGACTGGGCATTGCGCGAGCTCTTCGTGGCGTGGTAAAATCAATCGCTGCTGCAGGGGCGATTTAGGTAGCCGGCACTTACCTATAGGGCATCTCTATACGGTACGTTTCATCCCCAGGTCCTTTACTAACAGGTAAGATCCATAAGTGACGGCCGTTACAGCGGGCCAAAGAGCCTGGAGGAAGTTGTTAATGGGCGGCTATGCCAAGTGCAAAAGCACGGCTCCGTATGGAGCAATCTAGCCTAGATAATAGCAATTGCTTCATCATAAATAGCAACATACGTAACTTCAGCCTAAGACATGATTAATGCAATACAGTCACAGAATGATTTTCACTTTGCCCCTCTTTTGGAGAGCTCTCACCGACGTGTGGCAGGGCCCGATACAACCGTGCAATTGAAAACAAGAGGCTCAGACCGACAGAAGAACATGCTAAGGTCACAGTGCAGCTGATCTGCAGCGACGGGGATGGAGTCCAAAACCGCAGCTCCCAACGCCTGTGACTGCTCCTCATAACACACGTAAGTCAAATATGCCCAGTAGAAACACCAGGGAAAACTAAATAGTAGAACGTAATTTATTACATGAAAATTTGTCCCAACAGAGGATTTAAGAAGCCTGTTCTCCAAGGGGAAAAAAAAGATAGTTGGAGACACCTAAGTACCATTTGCAGTGTGTCGGTACCGCATAGCCCCCTTGGAGAGGGATGCCCAGTCACAGTGTACGACGTTAGCAGTCGGCCAAGGCTCCAAATGTCACCCAGCGCTGCGAACCCCCCAGGATGGATGAGTTCCCGGGCACCCTGTGAAGAAGGGCACGGTATCCAGGCTCGATGGTGATTTCAGCGGGAAGGGGACGCTTCCTGAATCACCACAGGTGCTTGCTTTTAGTGCCCAGGATATCTGCAAAGCTCTTCCCAACAGGCAACTCAAAACAAAAGCCAAACGTTTACACTTTGTATCTCTCGCTCCCAAAAATATTGTCTATGTGCCTTTTTCTTGACTGACACAGTTACTGCCCTGAATTCTCTTCTGATAAAAGAGAACGTCTTACGCAACTGAATTTTTAATATCCAAGTAACACTTTAGAAACGACTATGGCAAACTGAAATGTAACAAAAAAACGTTCATCAAGCCCAAACACACAACGCACCAGCAAACTGTTAAGCCTGGTACCATACAGCCAGCTATCACGCTGTATTCCCAACGCAGAATACCGGCCGTACTTACCACAGCACTCCCCCTAGAGAACGCAGGAAAATGAGCCCAGGGTCTACAAGTGTGAAACTGCCCCGTCCACCGCCTTGTCTGCACAAGGTTTCCTAAGAAGAAATAAAATGCTTACATTATTTACAGTTCTCAGGACACATAGCTATACTAGGAGAAAAGTCTCTTCCAAGGACTAAGCTCAGTAATTTGCACCAGACACCTCAGGATTTTTAAAAGGAGAAAATCAAATCAATGTGAATGCAGTGCAGATATAATTAAATTAAAAAATGAGAACCACAAACAGATCTAAAGGATGCAAAATGTAGTTCAAAATAGAAAGAACAGTATCGAGGTCAAAATGGCATTTCCAGATGTGTGTTGAGTAACAAGAGAGTCTTTTGACAACATCTCACTTCGTAATCGTAAGAAATCCCGGCAGCTGGGCCAGGCCCTGCTGGCACAAAAGGTAACTTTTAAGTAAGTCATTTACACTCGCAGAATGCTGCCTGAACACAGCGGTGCCTCTATTTGTAACCACTTTTTTTATACTACAATGACCTGAAATTATTTTTGTTAGATTGCAGATCTGGCGTCATCCAAAGGCAAATGAACAACTTTTAGTTTCTCATCTTATGTCACTCTTCAACCACCCAAAACTTTCATTTTTCATTTGGAGTTCTATAGTTACAACTTTTGCTTTAAAATGTGATTTTAAATATAAGCACGTAGATCATGTATGCGTGCATGATCCGCAGACGTGCAAGCCAACGGATGGCAGAGATGCAGCCAGGCCCGCTACCTACGTAACACAGGGGTAGTCTGGGTGGATCTACACTCCTAAGGACTGTGCCTTCACCCTCCTGCCGAGTTTCCTCAAGAAACTTCCCGAGAAGCCAAGGGGCTGACGGAACACCCTGTAGCGAGTTACATCCGAGTGAGGACGTGGTGACTCGGTGTCGAGACATCATGGTTCAGAAGGCGGCAAGTGCCTTCCTTGAGAGACCTGCCGGCTCTCCGGTTGGGGCCGGTGCGAAGCACCGTGCGCCTGCCCAGGGACAGGCCCCGGATGGGGCCCGTGCCCCGAGGCGCCGGTGGGGAAACCCGCGTCTCCTCAGGGCTGGCCGCTCACGTCATCACCTTGTCCCCAGCGCTTCCGCGGCTGCTCAGGGACGGGGGCTGACGGGTGTCTGTCCGCGGGCTCGGGAGGCCCCGCTGGGCCGGGCCCTACTCGGCTGCAGAGGGAA